CAGGTGAGCTAAAATCAGCTTTTCATTTATAAAAAAAAGTGTACTTTCACAGACAGGCAGGACTGTGAGATTAAAGCTGTTTCCCATTCCCACACGTAGCACGAGTGGTCCCAAGGAGGCGGAAGCCAATCTCACACAGGAATTGTATCTCCTCTCCATAAACGTATGATTGTTTGTCGTCTGTTACATGTAATCTGTCACTTAAAACTGGTTTTGCACATTTTATGGCTATAAAGAAGATTCAACAATGATTGGTTATTCAACTGTTAACATGAAGGTGTTTTAGATGTAGTAATGCAGGGTTGTGATCAATTACATAATAGTGTACTTCGAATTGTAATTAACGAGATTTGCTCCTGATATTTATAGTCTATAAGTTTCTACACACATAGCTTAATTAAAAATCAAATCAAATTATAGGGGTCAATTTGCTTCTTTTTTGGCGCTACGTACATTACATTTAATATGACCTTTTTGCACTGAAATTTGTGCCTTTGTCAAAAATTACATCTTCGACGTTTTCCCTCCGATATTTTTATCCAAATAAAGCATGGAACAAAACAAACTATAAGTCTCTTTAAAAAAGACACTTTAAAATAGTGTCTAAGAAAATGTTTCAAATGTCTAAAAAATTTAATAAGCAAAAAATTATTTTAAAGTCTAAAAGAAGAAGGTACAGTATCAATATAAATTAAGCCTGATATTTTTCTAAAATATGAAAGTGATATAAGAAATAAAAATTCATTCTTTCTTAATCATAGGAATTCCCTGAAGTAAGAAAATACAAGTCGTTTTTCTCATATGACCTCCTTAGTGCTAATTGTTACGTCATTAACTTGTGCATTTTCCCGTATTTTCTTAAAAAGTTGCAGAAGACACCAATTTTCAGTGGAAATTTCTTCAAGAAAACATACTCTGCCACCGTCGCCCGGAAAGATTTTGAGATATGTGATTTTTCATGGCAATTACATAATATATCCAAACATTAAAGTGGGCGACGGTGGCAGACACTATTTTCTAAAGGAAATTTCGCACAGAAATGAATCATTTTGAGGCTTTTCTGCATTAAACTTAGAAATGCACCAAATCAATGACGTCATACTTCCAGACAGGTCCTCCTTTATGCCATATTCTTTCATGATTTATCATATTCATCTACTCAACTATTGTTAAAGCCAATTTCATAACCTTTTGAGAACATTAAATTTATAATAAAAAAGAAGAAATATTTCATTTTCTTCTAAAAAAAACCCTTCCGCCACAAAATATAGTTCCTGGGGATTAATCCTACTTAAATTGAATTTAATCGTGTTTTTTTTTTCATTGTTCAAATATAGTTTAATTTGTATTGTAGAATTTAGATTTAATGTTAGAACAGCAGAATGTTAGAAAAAGTCCAGACCAAAATGTGCTCAGGATCGAACCTCCTTAAGTACTTTAAATGCATTGATAACAATGCCAATGACTAGCAATTACAATTACATGTACATTGATTTTTACAAATGTAATTTGTTACATTGAATGACTTTGAAGAATGTAAATTAAATACATATCAATTACTTCAGTTTTATTTTTCAAAACCCTGAAGAGCAAATTTAATCAATTTTAGGTAGAGGTTATGTTTGAAATAAATAGCATAAGGTGCCAGTGATAGCGTGTTTCATGAACACAAGATCCATTGGCGTCGGAAGCAAATTGAAAGTGGGGGGCTAAATGTAAAAATTTTTTATACCTTCAAAAAAACCTGACAAGCAAAGAAAGAAAAAGGGAAATGTCCATTTTCCAAACACGAAAATCCTATTTCGTGGTGGTGGTGGTGGTGGTGGGGGGGGGGGGTAGGTTCGAACTTCAGTACCAAAATTTTTTCCAGACACCACCTCTTTCCCCAATTTTAACCTATACCGCTACAAGTCTGTGGAAAGGGGCTGCATGAACCTACGAAGCAATGTTCAATGTCTATACTAAGTATATATTTGGAAAAAAAGTAGTCCCCCGGTTCCAACACCTTTGAGATCTATATGGTTATGTTTATAAACTGACTGCCTCGTTGACATTTGATTTTAAGAACAAACTTGAATCTAGAGTATGTAAATTTCATCTTTTCGTGTCCAGTGGTTCTTGAGAAAAAGACATTTTAAAGATACAATCAAATTTTCACGAAATCTTAATTATCTCTGTTTGAGAGAGGGCGGGACACTGAACCTTTTAAAATCTAAAATTCTTTTCACCCATGCATACTTTTTGTACTTTTAGTTGAAATTAGCCCGGTGGTTCTTGAGAAAAGTCAAAATATGAAAAGTTTACATGCTACAGACCGACGCCAGGTACTTTTTGATCAGGAAATCTCGCTTGAACCATGGGCTTAGATGAGCCAAGAGCCATACTTCAATCGCTTCATTTAACACCTGTCATCTTATGTTAATTTGAGGGGTAGGGAAAAGTTATTGAAATACATGAATATGTGCATATTTAGTTAAAATACATAATTGAACGAATAACAATGATGAACACATAACACAGAAAAAGTGGACTAATTTATTGCTTATATATCTTCTAACTTACGTTGATCACAGTAAGGACCAGTCCATCCAGGAATACACTGCGAGCACGTGAAATTCTCATTCAGACAAGTCTCCTCTGGATGGCAGTTCTTCGGACAGAAACCCAAGCAATAGGCTGAGGTTGTTTTGACTGGAATGCATGCTTAACATAAAATAATAAAAAATACAATTTTTATTAATGATATTTTCAACAAAATTATTCGAGAGAAAAGTTAATTTCTTGCAGGATAGTGAGATAATCCAGAATTCATTGTTCTGTCTATGTATATTCTGTATATTCTGTAATAAACCTTTTTATTTTTAAACTGATATTGTTTTCTAAAACTATTCCCCTGAGTAAAGTAACGGTGGACCTTTCCAACTGGATGCAAACCGACCTGGCTGACTTACCAAAGACAAAGACTTCGCATAAAGTCAGTATTTTCTCTGAGCTTATGTGTTCCCCTTTAATTATGATTTGAGATACTTGTTCCCATAGCATGTAAGAAGAGTCAATTAAAATTTCTTTCCTTCCAGAAGAGGATTTATTTGTGTCGTTGTAGATAAGATTTTCGGTTCCATCTCTTGTTTTGCCATACAGGGTGAATCCATCAATGCGTCTTCCTGTCAATAAAATTGAATTGCATTGTGAAAGTAGCACAAAATATAGCAGCATTATGAAAATGAGAATTTTCGTAATTGAGATTTCTTTTTGATAATCAACAATAAATACTTGAGACGACGCCTTTCGATCGATGGCTTGTTTTTGAAAAAATGTTAACATACAATTTCAGCATCAAGATAATATCAAGATATGTTTGACGAAGTATTTTACCAAAAAGTTTACTGTTTACTCTTACTGTTAGAATCGTCCCTGTTACTTATCAATATAGACATCACAGCATAAAAATCTCCTAGATTCACTTTCCAATATGGATTTGATTTGTAAGGCACTGTATGGGTACAAGAAATCTTGGAGAATTCATAATTGCTATTCCAACCATCCACAGCTTTATCTGAGGTAAGAAATACTCCTTTTTCTCTGTAAGTACTTGACTGTTCTGTTTCTTTTGAAAACGCTACATTTTTTCCTATAATACAAATAAATTATTGTTTGGTAACACTTTGTTTTGAAGGAATCTTTAAATCGGTATGTATTTTCAATATTTGTACATGTTTAAATCTCCTCGCCACTGGTTCTTTCTTATTTGAAAAGTTTCCAAATCATCTTCGTATGTAAGATCTTAAGCATGTTTCTTATAAATCATTCATTACTTATTATTCATTCTTTTTTCATTCAAAACTAAATACATTTTTATTATTTTTACAAAAATGGCTATGCGCTGATTGATGTCCCAAAATAATTACACATTCAAAAAACATATTAAAACAAAACAAAAAACAAAACAAAACAACAAAAAAGTGAAAGTTTTCATTTTCAGTACATTTTAAGTATTTTGTTTCACATTTTATCTTTCATCTTATATTTATCAATCTACTTATGAAAAAAGAAAACAAATCAAATATTGAAAAAAAGGCCTGTATAAGGTTTGAATTCTTACCTCCAAAAACTTCAATTTCACTGATTTTAGTGTAAGAGGTAAATTTGATTAATAATTTATCAGTCATTGTCATTTTGTCGAGAAAAACAGTTGGAGACCCAGTAAAATGAGAGTTATTATGACAAACATTGCCTTCGTGGTCATGAATTATCACGTGTATTTCGATATCTGAAAAGATCAAGTGCAAATACTTTTATTTCAAAAGTATCATTTTATTACAATTAAACATCTCACGAAAAAAACTATTGTTTTTTACTTTACCAGTTAAATAACAGAATATATTGATAGCGGACACTGCAAAAACTCCATTCAGATTAACTGTAGCATCAACGATGGAATGGAAATTTGTCCAGTTCCCATCAAACATTGGATCGATGTTGATATCGTTGATTGCAAGATTAACTGTCGAGTGGAAATATTGTTTGTTTATTTTTATTCTTACTACTTAAATATACAGTGTGTACAATTAAAAATTTAAAACAAAATTTTCCCTCTTCGATTCAACTTTATTTTAATTCATGTGCCTATATCTCACCATACTGGCACCCCGGCCCCATCCATCCCCTCTCACACTGGTTACCCATACCAGTACAATCTCCTGTGGTCTCATTAAATGTATTAAATACACAGTGTTCCAGTGATGTGCAGTCTGTTTCGTTCACATGTTTTATCCATTGACAGAAAAGTGCTTTGATATGAAACAAAATGCTTAAAGGAAATATTACGTTAAAGCACGGTCATAGCAAACATAAACTTTTTTCACATTTTCATCTTTTTAAGAACCACTGGGCCAATTTCAACCAAAATGTAATGAATTCCTGTTTACATCGAAGTGCTTAAAATAAAATACCAATTTTTAAGGACAAATCGCTAAATTTGCATCTCGCTAAAATTTCTACTTATACAGTATTCAACATTTAGTAAGCATATAGTTTGAAATTTTTACCGATCATGACTAAGTTTGATTTAGTTCAGATACGAAAAGAAAACAAAAAGAAACAAGAAAAATGTTCAACTCACCATCAGACAAAGTTGGTAAAACCAATTGTTGGAGTATCATCATATCAACATAAGATATGAAATAAAGTGATATGCTGAAAAATGTCATTTCGAATGAGATGGGTTACACACTACTAAATTTTGCACTAATATATTGAAAATATAGGCGAGAAGAGGAAATTTCAGAAAAGTATCGGATATGTACAAGGAAACTATAAAGTTCAATAAGATGATAAAATTTTGATATTATTCTCTCTTTATAGTACGTTATGGGATAAGTGCATAAATTCAATACATTTTTTTTAATTTTCAATGTAAAACAACTTTTCAAATGCTACTTCTACAGTTTTGGTCTGATTTCATAGCTTGGCAAACAAGCAGATTATACAAAGATTCATAATTTAGTGCATCATGTTTTTGATTTCGATGAACGGTCTTGCCAAAGTTACTGAAAATAGAAATTTCTGTGAAATTCCCTTAAAACAGTACTTCTCTTACAGTTTTAGTCTGATTTTAATGGCGAGTTTGAGAAAAAAGACATTGGGGTTTATCAAATATGGATAAACCTGGTTATTTTTTTTTTTACATATGCTGAGATCGATAACTCCTAGTCATTACGTTAATAATTCATCGGGCTCGGTGCTAAAAAAATTCCTGATATTTGTTGAATGCGCATGTCTTCTAGAACATTCCTTTCGATTCCTTAATTTGAATGAAGCATCACCCCTAGCAGCGCATTTGCCTCAGAAAGTGAAGGGAAAAAATTACAAAAATCAATTCATAAATGTTGGTACCCTTCTCTTTCATGATCCGACCTCAACACAACAAAACCACCTTGTGTTTGAAGATGGTGTATTTTAGGTGAAGCCTAAGCATAAATATCAAAACAATTTAAACTTATCACAATGGTTAGATGCTTTTGCAATTTTTGCATCAGTTTATTTATAGTCAAACATCCATCCTAAGCAAGCTCATTGTTTAGATATACGGCATTGATACAGAGGGTAGCTGAAAAAATCAAAGGCAACTGGTTAGATTATTATATTCAGTTTAGGCTTAAAAATCTTACAACTCCTCTTTGAGTTGGGCTTCTGTTAATGCAGAGCTGTGGATGGTCTATTGGTCTATATGCAATCGTAGACTGCTCCTACTAACCCTTTATCACGCCAGCAGTCTGCGCAGCCCTGCAACAAATGCTACAATTATAATTATCAGGGCATTTGCAACAAGTCGAATTGCAATTATGTGCATAGTTGTCTTAAATGTAATTCTTTTCATCCTTTAGTGAAATGTTTCAAGGCTAATTAAACTGCTATGCCAGAACAGTCTTCATCACAGACCAATTTCAATAATCGTGCACATTTCCATTCCAGGAACCAGCTGTTCCAGTACTAGTATTCAAAGGGCCAGTCACAGTCCAATTCTGTCACATAATTGTCAGAATTTATGGGAACGGGGTCACTCACCTATCAATTCTGAAAATCTGAATCAATTGTTATCTACTTAACCAAATGTTCAAGATGCTCATTGTTTATCCTTAGGTTTCAAGTTTGCTTTTCCTTGACTTTTGAATAGGAGGAGGGTGGAGTTTAAAAACATGAAATCTGCAATTCAGTACAGCTTTCAAATACAGGAAAAAATTGATAAGGAAGTTAAGTTAGGGAGAATAATGGATCCATTTTTATTTCCCTAAATATCCAATTTGCGATGTGATGTAATCCAATAGATTTAGTTCCCAAAAAACAAGGTGGTTGGCGAATGATAACAAATTTGTCATATCCAACATATGACAGTGTTAATGACTACATAGACCCCAATTTAGGTTCTGTCAGTTATTCCACTTTTGATGATGCTGTTTCTTTAATTGCGAGTAAGGGTGAGGGTGCCCTATTAGTAAAAATGGACATTTCCAGTGCATTTCGTCTGTTACCAGTTTGTCCACAGGATTTTTGTTTATTAGGCTTTAAAACACTCTGCTGCATATATATGCATATATATATATATATATATATATATATATATATATATATATATATATATATATATATATATATATATATATATATATATATATATATATATATATATATATATATATATATATATATATATATATATATATATATATATATATATATATATATATATATATATATATATATATATATATATATATATATATATATATATATATATATATATATATATATATATATATATATATATATATATATATATATATATATATATATATATATATATATATATATATATATATATATATATATATATATATATATATATATATATATATATATATATATATATATATATATATATATATATATATATATATATGCATACATTGACAAGTGCTTACCTATGGGTTGTTCCTTGTTGTGTTCTCTATTTGAGAAGGTTTCTACCTTCCTTCACTGGGAATTCTCTCAGAGATCTAAATTAAAAAGTGTTATTCACTATTAAGATGATTTTTTGTTTGTAGGAAGAGCCAATTCATCTCAGTGTATATATTTAATGAGACAGTTTGAAGGGTTATGTTTAGAATTAGGCATTCCGTTAGCTTTTGAGAAAATAGAGGGACCTTCTACTCGTTTGAGTTTTCTAGGTTTAGGCATAGATACTATTTCCAGAACTAGTTTTGTTCCAAATGAAACAGTTAGGGAGTTATTGGCAAAAATAAATGGAATGTTCAAAAAAGGTTACTTTGAAAGAAATGCAGTCATTGGCAAGAGCGCTTGCATTTGTGGTTAAGGCACTGCCAGCTGGTAGGGCATTTTGTACAAGACTTTATGGTTAAATGGCAGGAGTAAAAAAATCTTTTCATTTTATAAGAATTACTGCAGAAATTAAGTTAGACTTGTTAATGTGGGTTCAATTTCTTACTAATTTTACCGTTCACGGTAGCTCAGTCGGTAGAGCGCTCGGGAGATCGTAAGTTCGAATCTCGGCCGCGACTGACCTAAGTCGATTTAAAATTGGTAGCAACTGTTCCTTCGCCATGCGCTCGGCACTTTGAAGTGAAAGTTGCGGGTCCTTCCGATGAGACCTTAAAAACCGAGGACCCGTGTCAGCGGCAGGCATTGGCACGATAAAGATCCCTCACTGCTCAATGGCCCAAAGTGCCGAGTAAAGGTCAAAATTTGAAGCCCTTCACCGGCATACGGTGACGTGTCCATATTAGTGAAAAATTCTCGAGAGGGACGTTAAACAATATACAATCAATCAATCTTACTGATTTTAATGGTAGGACACAATTTCCTAGTCTTGTATGGCAGGAAGATGATTCGCTCCAATTTTATTCAGATAGTTCAAGTTCTTATGGTTGCGATGTGGTGTTCGGTAAACATTGGTGTTGTCTGCATTGGCCTGATGGCTGACCTGAGGAATGCTGCAGGGATATCACTTTCTAAGAAATTGTACCTATTGTATTAGGGGTTATGATTTAGGCTGAAAGTTTAAGGAACAAAAGACTCCTTCTTCATACCGTAAATCTGGAAATTTTTACTGTAGATAAATTTTTAGCAAAAATATTTTTCTTAAAAATAAACCAACATGAAGAATTTTTTTTTTTCTGAGAACTTGTGTCTTTTTTTAACTCAGTGAATAGGCGTCGGTAAGCACTGGTCATTTTCAAAAGAAACTGTTTAAACTAGTCTACTATACAAATACAAGTTAATTACCCGTGCGTGTAAATTACCCTCATTTTATGCAATATCGTCCGATGATTTGACAAGCACTGAGGCGGTATGTCCCTTTTTATTTATTTTCATCAATTAATTTGCCAATAAAGAGAGAACTGTCATTTTATCTAACCGTCTATAAACACGGGCGATAACTCAAACTCAGTGCATTTTCTAGAAAGTTCCAAATGTAAACGCGGCGTGTAAATTTCAGGTGAGAAAAAAAGCAAACGTTGAGAAAATTAGTTATATTTTTTCTTCATTTGGATTATACTTTAGGTTAAAAGGCATACACAACCTCTAAAATGTTTGTTATACATGTAATTGATTTAGAAATTATTTTCAGTGCAAATCCTTCTGTATTTTTATAAAAATTGTTTAGGAGCGATATCGCAATTTCTTGCCACGTTGCGAGTATATTGGTGGTATTCTAACTGGGCATATTGTTTGAAAAAT